GAGAGAGAGAGAGAGAGAGAGAGAGAGAGGCTCTTCCCAAACGATACCACGACCTTTCTCTCAGCGCGTCCGGGCTACGCTCTTCACTTCTAAACTGCCAACTCCCAGATCCAGCTTCTGATTCGAACTAGCGGCTGCGGCTCCAAAAACAGCCAGACCTAGGTAGCTACAAAGTTCTCGATACTGCTACACCGATGTCCCTACGAGCCGCAGAGCGCCAAGCACAGTTAGTACTAGAGTAGAATACCTACCAGACCCCGCCACACGGCCGCAGTGCAGACCTCCAAGCGCGAAAAAATAGAACACAGCACAACATTCCGCAATCGAAGTCTCGGAGCACACGTACCGGTACCGTAAGCTGGTCTTGGATGTTCCAAGCTTGGTCTCCCTCGGCGTAGAGCAGCCGCTTCGGCCCTTTTTTTGACCGGTGTCTGTCTACATTTCAAATAATCTAATCCAATTTAAGTCGGACGAGAAGCGGCAGTCGCTCTCTCTACGTCTCTGATATTTCTGCAACGCCGTTATTGCTATCTATTCGGACGCTTTTCTTTCCGCTCGCTTGCTTTCTCTGGTCTATTCTATGAACGGCAAGCAAGCCGCGAAGCTAGGGAAACCTTTGAAACCTCTGAGGGAAAAAAGAAAAAAAAAAACCAAAAAAAAACCAAAAAACAAACGTCGTCAATCGCTCGAGCAGGTTTGCATATTTCTCACAATGAAAGAAGAAGTCGTCCTAGCTTGCTCGGCGGCAAAGCACCGAGGACGAACGGCTCCTTTGCTGCACGGGCTTCTCGCAGGTCGCCCGCCGCCTACTAGACGCATATTTCCTCGGTATACAGCCTGCTTCCACAACTCACTCCCGTGAAACACCTTCTCTCCGATCTGGAAGATCGAGCAAGTGCAGCGAAGCACACGTTCCTGGTGCAGCAGGCCAGCCAGCCAAGTCGTATAGAATGAACCCCGGGACGAGCGTCCGATTCATTCGACATGCGGTGGTGCGCGGTTGTGGTACCGACCTCGGTGCTGCGTTGCGGAGATTTTGACGAGGCTGCTGGTGGTGGTGGCGCGCAGAGAAGTTGGGAGGGCTGTGCTGCTCCGAGGGGTGGGCCGCTTTGATGAAGCTTGGTTTGCCGGCTGTCGAAGACGAAAAGGCGATGTGGGAACTCTTTAGATACAGCTTGTTCACTACCGTAGGTAGCACAAGCTATGAAAGCTAGGCATCAGCTTCTTATACCCTCGGATTCCAGGGAGTTGAAGTCCGACCACCTATATATAAGAGCTTTAGAGGTCAAATGTATTCGGGAGAGAAAATCGTGTGACCGCTATTCAAAAATCAAGATCGAAGGATTGGAATTATCACACCTTCTTAGCAATCTGCCTACAAGTTCTGTTCGTATCTTGCGAAAGAAATATCGAAGAGAGTTCTCACTGAAAACTATAGCAAGATCCAAGTGTCTCTTATGCATATTATTCGTTAACTGCAGACTATTTCTACAGCTTTGCTGTTCCTCTGGCGCCACTGTGCATACATAACAGATCGATTAGGTCGTGCCGAAGTCGAAGCACCATCATCTCATCATCTATCAGCTCCACTCCATCTCCGAATTGAAATTCAGTTCTTTCCTCGTCCAACGACGCGCTGGGCCGATCGACACAAGTGCCATCGCTAAGCGAGTTTGATCTCTCTGGCCGACCATAAATAACCCGCCTCCCTTCCGAACTTTTGTTTTGTTTATTGTCAATAACACCGGTCCGATCTGACACTACACTTGTTATCAATATTAGCTCTCCGCCAACCACTACACACGACGTGAGCCGTGTCACAGAACCGATCACCAGGCTCACTGCCAGCATATCGTTTGACGCTCCTGGCCGAGCATCAGCCACAATCTCACTGCACCCGCGCAAAGCCAACTCCCTCCCTCGAAATGGTCGATACACGAACCACGCAGCGCAGCAAGGCTGTTGCCCCTCCACCCATCAAATCCAAGGAGGATGAGAAAGAGTCGGCCCGTGAGTTACGCGCTCGCCGCCGCGAAATGTCCCTGGCCGCAGACTCTGCCAAACTCTACGTAAGTATCTCCTATCTCCACCAGATCGAGAATTCATACAGTCGATCTTCTACCATGACTCATTGTGAGGGTTGCACAGGCTGACATTTGCTGACACCCGGTTAGAGCAAGGAGAACCTTGCCAAGGCGTCAAAGTCGCACGTCCTTGTCGAAGGAGTTATCGATCCAGATGGACCACAGTTCATGGCTATCCGTGGAGAGTCCGAGTCTCCTGAGATCATCTTTATAGCTCCACTCACCCCCAAATCAAGGGCCAAGGCTGCTGCATCCAAGATAGCCGACTCAGCCAAGGTGTCAACGTTAAAACCAAGCAACGTCTTGTGGAAGCCTACTCTACCTGCTGGCGCATACTACCCCACCCGTCATCCCGGTCCTACTCCAGGAGCACCTCGAACTGCCGCTAGTGGGTTCATTAGTCGCAAGGCTGTCAAAGCCTCCCAGGTCGGTCTCGCTAGCACTGGAGAGAGAAGAGGAGCTACTTCTACGACATCAGCTAGCTCGTAGGTCTTCCTTTTCCAACTCCCCCTCTCCCACCTGCCCAAGTCAGAATCTCACTGACATGCGGTAGGCTGATTCCGCAATCGTATGCAACGACCTCGGCACCTGTGACGAGACGCATCTCTCTGTAGGTTCTATTGATACCCCCTCAACATAATCTCGACCAGAACTAACTCCTCTCAGCACCCTCGCAGACCGAACCAAGGCAAAGGCGGTTAAGGAACCAAAGGATAAGACGCCCAAGTAGCGATGGGCGGACGTTGAATTTCAGCTGAGCTTCTGTCAACTTGTATGCTTCTGCCAGCAGGCCTAGCGCGAGTTGGCGGTGAATCAGAAATTTCAGTCTACTGTTACGGAAACTCCACTCTGGGTTATTGCAGTGCATATTTTACTCGGGATGTACGATAGCGGACTTGCCTCTTGCTGACTGGTCAACAAGACACTCGTGACGAAATAACTGACAGATCATAATAAAAATGCAAACTCGAATTTCCATTCCCTCGGTATGACAAGAGCCCTGCAGGCATGACACTGCATAGCCGTCGTACGTTGCCTATACTTTACTGCTTCTCCATTCTTGAAGCGCGCAGCCTAGTCCGTGATGCAAGAACCAAAGAGCAAGCACTCTCTGAATCGAGTCGGCATCTAGCGGAGCACTCGTCTATCATCTACCGCCCCAGAATGCCTGGCATACTGCTGGCGTTCTAGTGGATGAAGAGGAGGACCCGGTATACTGCAATCTCGTCCCTAGCTCGATTCTGCTGACGTCGTGACTGTGCCGCACTCACACTGACCTTCCAATGCTTCGAGTTCACGACGGGTTTTTCATAGGTATGTAGTATTGGGAACGTGCCCCTGTTGGGACATCCCGCGGCACCTTTGGGAATCGACCAGCTAGTCTGTGGTTCGCCTCCTACTAATCTTCGGTGTTCAAGTAGGCTTGAAAGCCGGAAAGTCGCTGGAATGTTTCACCCGCAGTCACACTTGCCACTGGACGCCTTCCCGGTCTACAAAACTCAACACAGATCCCCCAACGCGCGACTTCCACCGACTTCCCCTATCGGGATTCCAACCACATACCCCTGCAAGAACACCGATCGTGTAACTAACCATGGATGCCTCTTACAAGCCTATCTCTGGCAGCCAGAGCTACGGCAGAAAGCTCTGGGACTACGCACGGGATATGCGAATCTGCGAAGAGAAGAAGGCCGAGTGTACTGTACCCGCGCCTGAGACCGGCACGAGCGCGGTGTTCAAGGTTGTCGGAGAGATGTTATTGCCTACGAGCGGGAACTCGGCAAGTACCGATATTCGGCCAGAGAATACGTCGTCCCGGCACCAGCAACTGACTATTGTTGGCCTTTCGCTTGGTATATATGGATCCTTCGCGCAAGCACGAAAGGAGACCGAGATCGAGAATGTGGATGCGCTGCTGGGCATGGTGGATCTATCTAGGGATGTAAGAGTTGCGCATGGCGGGGTGAGCTGGATGTATCGGGTACATGGCCAGGTTTTGTAGGTGTAGAACTTCAGGTGGTAGAGTGTATTGATCGAATAATGAAGTACCTGCACCTGCGGCTCTGATTTTTGTTTTTCTTCGCATATCATTTGAGTGCTCATTCGGATCCAGCTGTTGACTTGGTGTAAGCTGCAAGGGAAGCAAACAACGACGCATCATCCGAGCCTCAGTTTTCGGGTCCGCATGATTCTATTCTCACGGGGACGCTATTCAAATAGTTCTGATACCAAAGGTGCCTCTCATATAAGATCATGTCCGCCGTTTCTTGATTCGGACGCTCACAGACCCTGCCAAGCCCACGGTCTCACTGGAACGAGCATACCTAGCACTAGATCCACAAGGCGCCTTATGTATTACCTATCTACTACTATAAGATGAACCCTGATAAGTGCCGAAGCTTTGAAAGAACCCGCTAAGCGGATTGACCACAATTTGCTCAACCAACCTTGTAAATTGGATTGTTGTCGCGCTAAATTAAGCGAGGCCACGCTAAGCCTCGTCATCCCCATTCAACACCACCCTTCCTTCCTATTTCTGAGATCGGCCTGAGCGGAGATAACACCGCCCATCCATACCCAGAAACATTCACGGTCCTCGACGATCTTACGCGGCGCGAGGAGACACCTATCGCATACCCACCGCAGCCTTCTGCAAGCACCCCGAAGTTCGAGCCGCATCAAGACTTCTGCGGAACGCAACATTTCAATCATCCATGCGAGAAGCGTGCGACTTTCCATGGTAGCTTTTGACGCGCTTGATCAAGAGAGCCTAAGCCTACCCGACGGCTATCTCTTCGAATGCTGCTAATACAATACGACCGCTTAGCGTGCCGATTCCTCTAGGACGGACAGCGCCAATCTCGAGAGGGCGGCCAGATCCTGTCTCTCACATAAGACAGACTCATACTGAAGGTTCTTGAAAGCGGTCAAGATTCCCAAGACGCTAGTGCTGCTTAGAAATCAAGTTGTTTCGCTCTGCCTTGCATCCGCTGGGTTCTTTCTAGGTGGCTTGACATAGGTTATCCGTGCCTGGTCCGTAACACTATCTTCCTCCTTTAATCCCGCGGAAAGATATTGCTGTTGCTGTTGCTGGTGCTGGTGCTATTGGCGTTCATGGTAAACAGGCGGCTCGCGAGAGAGTCTCTCTTGTGTTGATGGACCTCCAGGAAGAGCACCGCTTGTTATACCCGTCTGCTTCTTTCTCCCTGCCTTGTCCATGGAGAAATTTGGATGGATACCTACTCTATCCTGCGGTATTGTTATGGGAGCTGCTGCTTGGGCACTTTTCAAATTTGCTCTCTCGATATTTTTATGCGTTGAGGTCGAGGAATCCGAATTCAGAGCTGGTGCAACGTGAGGATTTTGCGGTGGCGGAGGATGTAGACCTTGAATTTGCATTTCGCAACTTCGTCATCAAGACCTCGAGGTAAATGCTAATGGCTTGGAGATTCCGATAGAAGCAGTTGGATTGGAGTTGTGGTATGAAGGTGGTCGAGGTATGACTTAACGAAGGTGATGAGCTCGGCGTGGTTTGGGGAATGTGCTCCATCTTAAATACGGAAATTCGACAGGCTCGAGCAGGATTTGATCAGAGGAGCGGTGGTTAGAAATACTATGGGGGAGGCCAAGGCTGCAGTAAAGGGATTCCTGCGGATCGCTATAGCTCAGAATGGCTAGCGCGTAAACAAAGAGAGGTGGTCAGCCTTTGAAATACTTTACGTGTTGTTTCCGCGCTTTAGGTATAGTTGAGTATAGATCATAGGCAGGCAAAAGCTTTAGGGAACGCGTTTGTTATCTCGCCTTAGTTGCTGACCCGAGAGCTACCTATCCAGCCCTGAAAAGCTTGATCCTCCATGTCCCGCACCGATCTCTCCCCCATCCTTCTGAAACATGCGATGTATTTGTTCCTCTGGCGCAGAAGACAAAGACCCTTCCGATACAAATGTAGTCCAAGGCTTCATATTTCGTCTGCCATACAAATGCACATGCCGCGACCAAGCCCAGTAGTAGCACTTCACCATTGCAGATTGATGGGCGGCAGATCGACGAAAAAATCAAAAGCATAGGATAATCGAAGCAAGAAAGACTATCCCAAGAAGGACAGAACTGATGAGCGTCGCAAGTAGTAGAGCCATAACCACAAGCAAGGCCAATTCCACAGCCCATAACTCTGCAGCTAGCAGTTCCATTGTCTCGCCCTCCTCTTGCGAGGCTCTGAAACCCGACTTCCACGAGCTTTTATTGTTGATGTTGTGCTCTTCCTGAACTGGCTTGGATGATCGAGCTCTGCCCTCTATCTCTTTGTTAAATTGTAAGAGCTCTTCTTTAAACTTGGCTCGTTGATCTTGCATCTCCTGGTCGAGATACTTGCGGCCTTGCGATCGGTGGACAATCGGTGAGTCGAAGGTTTGTTCGCTGATGATCGGATTGATGCTGAGGTCCTTAGAGCGTGACTGCTGGCCTGGAGATCGTACGGTGTGAGCTGGCTGATCGGCTATTGTGTGCTGAGACTCCGCGCTTTGTTCATGGCGGTCGAGCGGCGCAGGAGGGATTCCTTTGAGTTGGCTCGTGTGCGCGGTCTTGAATCCAGACGTTTTGAAATGGTAGTTTGGGTAGTTATTTCAAAGCCTGGCGTTTGCGCGGTCCAAGGAGATATATTGGTCGGCCAAATCACCTCCTTAGTTCTCGGCCGCTAGCGCTTCTTAAGCGAGGGCTGATGTTGTGATTCAGAATTTTTTTCTGCCCGCGTTGCTACCTGGAACCCAGCCTCAGTCCCGAGTCAGAATCAACGCCCAATCATCAACTGAATCATTCTTTTGGTTATTCTTGTCATTCCCTGATAATGACATCCAACGCTACTACGGTCACCGACGGGCCCCTTCCAGATGCCAGCGCCAAGGAAGTTCCTTCAGCCGGAACTGTCCAGCCCAATAGGAGTCCCTCGAAGACTAGGAACCCTTTGCCTATGATGGCTAGCAGTCAGGAAATACCCTCTGAGACGACCATCACTGTCGGTATAGTGGATCCATTATCTCCGAATAACCTTGGTACACTTTAAGCTAAATGAGAAACAGATCGCCGTCGAGAATTCGCGATTTATGGGAATCCCAAGCAGGATTTCTACGGAAGGGAAGTGATCAATGCAGGTACGAAGCATAAATATTCCGGAACAGAACTTAGACTAAAAACAATATACAGAAGACTGCGAAGTCGAGCGCAAGAAGCCCATTGTTGTGCGTGGACCGTACTCTGACCGTCCACTTGACTGGGAGCCCGAAGTCCGCCGCCTTTCCGATATTATGCGTGAAGGGAAAGAAAATGCTAGGATAGATGAGCTCACAGACGAGCTACGGCGGGTTTCTCTAGAAGTGGTATAGAAGCTAAGGCGCATTGTTCCTTGTACCAACATCTTTTACTGTACAAACTTCTGCCTCACTTATAATGAAAAAGAACTTGATTGTATCATAAATAAGAGCGAGGACTGTGATATATATATTTAGAAAGTTGGAGAGTATGACCTAGCGTCATTGTCTTTCTGAAGAGTTGTTGTTCCCTTTATGATCTGAACAAAAGCCTTAAAGTTCCTCTCGAGCACCCGTGCCTAATGCAAGCCACTAGCCTCGAGAGCTTTAAGCCTATGCATTTTCCGAACGCAAAGATCTTTGTTAACATGTTGCCAGTTAATACGCATAGCCATTTCCTTGCCGGAATGCGAGGCTACAGCAATGTCAGCCAAGGCAGCTCATAACATGAAACCTGCGGAAAAGGAACGTTCTTTCTAAGAGTGGTTAGGCACCGGGGTAGTTTTGTTTAAGGACTGCAGATCATGAGACCATATCTCTGACCTACATTGTTTATTTACTTTAAAAAAATCAAATGCGGTGTAGCTTGCTTGAAGAATGCGAATCCAGTAAACCCCTTTGAAAGATTTTCCAGGTGAGACAACAACCCTACCTTTTCATGGTATGTTTCGTCTGAGTGATTTCTTGTTGGCTTATACTGCTCTGATATTGATATTAAGTATTATGCTCTTACCAACAAGAATGTTACCACGGGCCAGCGTTTGATGATAGAACAGCCAGAGCTATAGGTAGGAGCGCGGTTCCTTTGGAGAAAATCACGAGTAAGACAAAGTGTTTTGAGATAAACAGGCTGCCCTCGTGCGTCTGGAGGCTTTAATATCATACGGGTTACCTGAAACTGCGACCGGCGTTGGTTCATAAGGCTGCCTTGGATCTCAAAGGCTGAATTGAGATGGCCTATCCTCCGTTGATAAAATACTTGCAAATCCCAGGTGTACTTTGCGACAGCACCAATGTATATTATAAACAACAAATAAGTGCTTGTCTACCTATATTTAGATGTAGTATCTATATAGAGGAATATCATTTTATTGACCTGAGAAATCGTCAAGAAACCTGGGGGATGTTTATCGCTTGCAAGTGCCGAATGTTATACCAACAACTCAAAAGCGCTTCAAATCTTAACAAGAGTCAATTGTGCCTAAAAAATCAAATATATAGATTTAATTCGCGCAGCTTCCTAACACTAAATACTGACGGCTCAAGACTATATACAACGAGCCAATTTCAAACTCTCGGCCAACTGACGCATCCTTCCGAAAACGAACACCAGCAATAAAGCTTCATCACAGAATCAACCCACACCTCCCACTCACTCACTCACTCCACCCCTACTCACCAAAACTCAGCGCCAAAAGCTAGCTGCCCCCATCTCAATCTCGAATTCAAATCTTTCAAATCACTTCTGGAAGTGACCATGACAGTACCCACCCGCGCACAGCGCATCGCATCCATCGCCAAGCACACCGCAGCCATCATAGAACTCACGGCTCAATCCTCCACCACGGACGAGAAACTCCAAGAGATCGAAAACCGGCTCGCATACTTGCAAGAAGAATTACAGCCCATGTCAGACTCCGCAGCGTCGGGAAAGAAGAAGAAAGGAGGAGACGCTGGAATAGCGGCTAGCGGGGGGGCTTTGGAGAACGCGAACGCGGTGAGGGAGGTGAAAGGCAGTCGAGAGGATGGAGGGGATGAGAAGAACAAAGGAGAGCAGGGGACGAAGAGAAAAAGGAGGAAGAAGAGGATGAAGGGGAAGGGAAAGAAGGAGGCTCAGAGGTGAGTGCCAAGTGGTGAGTCCGCAGATATATATCAAGCAAGGACGTGACTGACATTCTCCAAGTTTACACAGCGCTGCGATCAACATCAACCAAAGCAGAAACGGCATGCAAGCAGGAACAAATGATGGGGACGATGAGATGGATATTGATTGATTGACCTGTCTGCTAGTACTACATACACTTCTCTCGATCTCCAGATCTGGTAGGTATAGCAGCGGGAATCAGAACCACGGTCAAGGAGTTCAAGGTGCAGCACTCCTCAGCTATTCAATATGTCAAACTCAATCTTCATTCTCATTAATTGAGATTAAAGTGCGATGTAGATATTTACTTCCAGAGTCAGCTTCCGTCTTGAGAAAAAAAAAGGTAAGTTCTAGCATGAAAGGAATGTGACGGCTTGAGACGATGAGAAGCATACGTTTCGCATTCTATTCAAATAACGAATTGTATATTTCTTTCTAGCTAATCCAAGTTTCCGATAATCAAATAGTCCAGAAACAAATTCAGGACACGCTTATAGGAATGTCGTCTGCAAAGCGGGATTCTTTACAGGCCATCATACTTCGCCGACACTTTATTGTTGCGGATGAATTATAGATACATACATCATCATCATACGGAAGCCATGATTAGCTAGACTGGAGACCGACTTGGCTTGAGTTATAATTTCTGTTTGAATTTTCTCATAGAATTTCGAATATATCGTAAAGTACACCTTGTTCTGATACGATATCCCTAAGAGTTTGCGAATGTGACCAGAAAAGAGATTTCTTGTTTCCTGGGTACAATAGTTCAAGCGAGTGAGTGGTCTCGATTCAAATAGTGTGGCCAAGAGATCTGCTATTAGATCGACGCTCGTATCATTTTGGTAATGGATACAGCCAGCGCTATATAGCACAGGGCAGAGAGGCACCATACATAGTGAGATGTCTCGGGCATGACATCTTCTGAGATATCTTACGCCTAGCAAGCTAGCAAGCTAGCAAACAAGCAGGCAGGCAAGTAGGCGAGCAGGCAAGCAAGGAAGCAAGCATCATTCGCGATGCATGGCTTCTTCTCTCACGTGACAAATTCACAGAATTCCCATCAGCTTGACCACTTCTCCTTGTCCCCCTATCCCCTCCCCTCCCCTCAACCATTACTCCAAAGCCTGACCCTTCGATCCTGTTTCCTCAGGCTTCTCACCCGCAGCAACCTCATGTATCGCATCCGTAATGATCTTGATGCCCAGCGCCATGTCCTCCTTCGTAATGTTCAACGGTGGGATGAACCTGAGCGTATCATAGATGGAAGTCGTTAAGACCAGCATATCTTTCTCCATACATTTCGCCTGTATCTTGCTCGCAAACCCCTTGCCAGGCGTGCACTCCATTGCGAGCATCAGTCCCAAGCCCCGCACGTCGTAGATCATCTTCCCCGTCTTCGGATCCTTCCAAGCAGCTTCCAGCGCTCCTCGGAGTTCCGAGCCACGAGCCTCGACGTTCTGCAGGATCTTCTCATCCTTGAATGCTTTGGCGACGGCGACACCAGCTGCGCATGACACTGCGTTGCCAGCGTAGGTTCCGCCCATCGAGCCGGGTTTTTGCAAATCCATCAACTCCTTGCTGGCTACGATACCGGACAGCGGGAAGCCGTTCGCGATACCCTTGGCCATGATCATGATGTCCGGACGGACGTCGTAGTGCTCGATAGCGAACATCTTGCCTGTTCGGCCAAAGCCGCACTGGACCTCATCCACGATCAACAGGATGTTGTTCTTGTCACAGATCTCCCTCAGCTTGGCAAGGTAGCCCGGAGGAGGAGGAACGTATCCACCCTCTCCCAGCACCGTCTCGACCACCACGGCCGCCGTATCACTCGCCGCCGTCTCCCGCTTCAACAGCAACTCCAGCTGCAGCACGGGGTCCATGCAGCAATTCTCAAAGCCGAACTTGCCACCCGAATGTGAGGCAATAGAGCACTGCTTGCAGTAGGGGAACGGCACCGAAAACACGCCCGGCATCAGCGGTGCGTAGTTCTCGCCGTACACCGTCTTGCTTCTCGTCATGGCCATGGTGCCGAAGGTGCGTCCGTGGTACGAGCCCTGCATCACCACGACGTTCTGCTTCTTCGTCGCATGGCGCGCCAACTTCACCGCGGCCTCCACGGCCTCGGCGCCGGAGTTCCAGAAGAAGAACGTGTCCAGCGACGGGTGCGGCATCAGCGACAGCAGGCTGTCGACGAGATCCAGGTAGGATTTCTGGAAGGCGATGTTGACCTGGCCGTGCACCAGCTTGCCGACCTGCGCCTGGGCGGCCTTGGTCACGGCGGGATGGCAGTGGCCGAGGTTGGTGACGCCGATGCCCGAAGTGAAGTCGAGCATGCGGCGACCTTCGACGGTGGTGACATAGCTGCCACAGCCGGACTCCAGCACTTCGGTGGAGAGGCGGCCGATGCCCTTGGCCACGTGCTTGACGCCGAACTGGGCGAGTTTGGTGAGGCTGCTGCTCATGCTGGCTGGCTGGTGAGTAGCGAGTGGCGACGATGTCAACAAAGGGGGAGGTCGAAGATGGAAGGGTGGAAAGGATAGAATTGAGATGTTATTGGGAAGAAGATTTCATTTCGCCAACGAAACCCCGGAATGCGGCTGTTTGTGCCCAGGCGGAGAGATGCATGCGGGCAGGCAGGTGGGGTCACCTGTGGCGACGGCGTGTGGCGCTTGGTCGCTTGTAAGCCAATCGGATGACGTCGATATGTAATGAGCCAAAGTAAACAAGCAATCGAGGCGAGCAGCGACAATCTACAGATCCACAAAGTACGCCCCGGGCTTTGCACTCAGCTTATGGAGTACTCAAGATTTAGATAAAGGGCATAATTCCCCACCAGATTCCATTCGATTATTATAGCAGCAACACTCGACGGATCATCACCTCATGGTATGGAACAGCGGCGTCGGTTTGACATTTGAGTACAGTACTAGCTGAAAGGAGCGGGATAGTAGTGAATTTCGTCACATTGCTATTAATATCGATTAGTATATACTATTAATATTGAAGGGGGGTGGAGAGAAAATATCAAAGAGACAACTGCTTGCATTGGATCTAAGAGGGTTATTACTAAGAATTAAATGCTAGAAAGACAGCTGCTTGCATTACACTCAAAGAAGCTATTGCTTAAAATGAAATTCTCGAAAGATGTTCATTCGGAACTCAGATATTGTTGCTCAGAATCATGAGATCGACCTGTCTTACTCGACGGCAATGCGGCCAGAAGATCAAGAGGTTCCGCACTCCAATCTCCGCGGCGAGGACGATGAGCTCAGCCTCAGTACCACCCCGATGCAGCAACCACTGCGGGAAGAAGATATCTACGGCGCTTATCCGCCGCGGAGGCAGGTGCATCTGGAGCAACAAGTCTCGGTGCAAGAGCCAGAGGAAGATTTCTTCGCCGGTGAATCTCGGGACCAGACTTCTGCGACTCCAGTTGCCGTGGCCACTCCGTCCAAAAACATCTCGCCGAGAGTTCCTGATCTAGCCCCCAAGCCAGTCAAGTGTGTATCTCCCAGGGATGTGGATGAGTATACTCTCAAAATAACCCAGTTTCCTCGGTCGATCTCTCGGGAGGTGTCTGGCATTCAGCACCAAGGCGCTCTATTAGACGGTTACGAAATGTCCAAGCGTGTTGCTAAAAAAGAAGAACCCACTGCTCCTAGTTCGAATAGATCGAAATGGCTGACTGCGGGCTCAAATCTGTCGGACCCCATCGAATTTTCTGATTCAGATGAGGAGACAGTCGATACCGGTGTAGATGTGGATATAAAGCTTGCTGAGTTACCCCAAAATTTCTCTGCCAAATAATCCGAGCCAGTCAAGTCCGTACCGCTTGATACATCTCCTTCCGATCTGGAAACCGCAGTCCCGGCACAACTTTCTCCTACCTTGGGCAAAAGACCTGCAGATAATGAGGTTGCGACTTCGTCCGGACCAAACAAGAGCCAAATACAGCCGAAGACTCAACCGTATGTATCTGATATTCCGCAGCTCTTGGTTTCGAGACAATCTTGTACTAACTTAGACTCTTATAGACTCATGCCAAAGATTGCTCCCCATGTTCGCATATACTTCTCGCGTGCCGAAGCTATTCGCGATCGCGGTGGCAAGCAATTGACTCAGAAAGTTTCGATCCACCTCTTTCTCAAAGTCAATCGAGAAATATTTGCCCGCCCTGAACGCGCTACTCAAGCTCAAGCTAAGTTTGGGCCCCGGCGATATCTTTGACCCTGAAGACCAAATCTGCTGGGTCAAGCAACAATCTACGACGGATGCACATGCCAACTTTGGAAGTCAAAATATTGTGGTGTTCTTTGACAAGCTAGTCGAATATCTCAGTGCTCAGATGCACCTTTCGGCCAGCATGATCGCCTCCTTTACAGCTGATGTTATTGCGAGCGGATTGCTGACTCTGGAATCATGGATTATTCATCCTACCGCCGATATGATTAGTAAGGGCTGGGAGACGTGGAAGCCAAAGGCTTTGAAAGTTGCGAAAATAATCAATGCAGACTCAGGTTACCTGAATTCTTTGCATGGTTTGAGCTGATACCAAGACGACGGATGGATATTGCTTCAAGAGGATAGTTTGAATGATTTCGGATGATTCAGATGATATTTTGCTAGCGTAGAAAGGATTGTCTGGAAGACATTGGTCGCATCTGTTCGAATGCCGTCACGCGGAGCAACTGGCTACATTCTTTTAACGAATAAAGCAAATGTTATGAAATCAGCTCGTTGGGCGCAATGCTGAAAGTAGCGAGGAGGATGACGATTTTGGAAGGTGGGGCCTTCGCCTCGGTAAGGAAAAAAGCTTCAGTTAACATCATCTGGAATGGAAGTATGACTTCGCTGTGAATGGAAAACCAATACCCTTCCATTAGATTATTCCTAAATTCTCCTGATACATGATGTTTTCTAAAGTTTAATTGATGCAATTTTTTCCAAAGAGGTCTGTACAGTCAGTCACGTGCCGATATGCTTACCGACGACTCAGTTGATGTCGGCATGGCGTATTTTCCGATAGACCGACATCCCGCTCGGTTCATTCATCTCCTGATTCTTTTGTTCTCCGCTGTTCATCCTCGATACAGCTCCAGCGTCTGTGGGTACCATAGAAACAGAACAACTATCAACAGTTTGCACAAGGGCAGCCCTTAGCCCTTGAGAGGTAAGTATTAATCACCGCCGCCACTTCAAAGCACTTTCTAATCTTCAGATACAGCAGGAAAGATCGGCCAAGCCTAAGATGTATAATCAACGGAAAGATACACAGTCAACAATGTTATGGGCGATGCCTTTGTTACAAGAACCACATGAGGCAATTGGAGCATACGATCTCCGATTGGAGATGATGAAGACCAAAGCCGAGGCGGAGCTCACAGAGGATGATCTGGATGAGACAATGGCCTCAAATACCATGGCAGGGGAGGTAGAAGCCGATATAAACAAGGAGTCCTGCTTCCTGTAGCAGGAAGTGAGGCAAGAACTAGGGGGGACAGAGGCCAAAAGGATACCCGATTCGACTAAGATTCAGTCCTCCCCTGATCTGCCATAGCTTTCTGTTGCTGGCTCCAAGACCTCTAGCCTAGATCAACCTATGGGCAAGTCATACCACCCGGGCGTGGCCTTTACCTTTGAGCAAAACCTGGGTATCCGTCTAAATCGTGGGTCTGGGCCGGATGCCTAAGTCGCTCGCAAGCCGAGGCCATCAAAGAGCATGCCAACTAAGCTCTCCCCGATTCGCACCAAAGCTACGTCTTCAGCAATCAGGCAGTACTATCTCCGAAAACGACTGAAAAATTCTGTTCCAGAATCAACGATGATTACGCAAGATGTGGGACGCATACATAGATGCCCTGTTGTCTTGGATCATTGAAGTATTTGCTAGCAATGCTCAGACACTGGCTAGCTGAGAAATTGCTTTGAAAAAGCTGCAGAAACTGTGGCATGGATCGGTGTAGCTGGAGGAAGATATGCTAACTCTGGTTCCGGCGATCGAGTTCTATTGTGCATGGACGGGACAGCTGAGAAAAATTACAAGCAATGGAGACCGCAGAAGCGGCAGCGAGTGTCATCGCTTGAGATATACCCGGAAGAAACTCGGGCCAAATACCACACACTGGAGCTGGGGCTAGGAGAAAATGGACCATTTCGGCCCGTGATTGAGAGACCCTCGGAGCATGCGGCCCGAAGCAAGATGGCCGAAATCTTTATCACGAAGCAGAGGAGACACAGACTCTTCATTCTACGTCAATTTCCGAGCAGTATTTCCCGAGCTACCGTTTCTCCCACCACTACCCAAGAAATCACAGCAGTTATCCGTCTGGCGATATGGATGATAGCCAGGAAAGCGAGTGGGACAGATTTGAGGCTGGTACCGATGTAAATACCGGTGGAGAAGGACAATATGGCTCCACCGGTACAGGTGAAGCTTCGAGCTCAAAAACGAAAGCAAAGAACGATGGAGCTGTCAAGTAAGTCTTTTTTTTTTACTATTTCGAGATACGATTTCATGCCACATCTTCCTGATATGATCAGCTTTCTAATTTCAAACAGTGTTGACGAGCCTGTCGTTATATTCCGCCGGGAAGACAGAACAAAAACGGTTGGGGACAGCCTAGCTCACGCTCACCATCGGATCCTCAAGGCCAGTCTTCTGCTAAAGCACTCGAAAACCTTCCATAATCTTTTGGAGGCCGCGAAGAATCCCAATAGCGCCTTTGACCCCGAAAATAGACTCTGCTGCCGTGTTTCCGTACGTTTCCGAAACGGCGCGGAAAGGAAGACCTGGTCAATCTTTCTCAACAACACTATCCAGTATTGCGCCGATAACTTCGGAGACGAAAACGCGAGGCTGATGTTGGCATTCACACCCAATACCCAGACCAGCGATCCACTTACGGTCTGGGAGCTACTTAGCGAGTGGTTCTCCTGGTGCCTGAAATCTGAGAAGCCGGCGCAGCTCGATTGCCCTTGGCGGAAAGAGAAGCTGCTTATTGTTTCAAGGTTCATTCAGGCGGATAAGGAGTGGATTGATGCAGTGGAGGCTCTCCATGTTCGGGCGAAGGTGTACATGGACGAGGAGCAGGATCTTGATTATGCGAAACACAAGCACCCCGATTGGGTGAGAGATAATGATCCCATGAAGTACGGAAGGATGCGGCCAGAGTCTAAGGTCTGGAAGAGCAAAAAGAAAGCGGCAAAGGAGTGAGGCTTCTTCATTTCCGATATGCCGGATTGGAAGAGGAATGATTATGGTTGGAGATTGTTTTGATAGATGATATGGCGTGTAGGGAGTATTGACAAGAAGGTATTGAAAATACCTGGACTAGGGAAATATTGATGTAATTGTAGCAGATATTGTTCCATTCCCTTAATGGAAGACTTGAACAGCCTTGCAAACTGGCTATCTCCTTGTTCTCTTCTACCTACCTCAACAGTGCCCAGACTTGATTTCGACAGAGAGGGGGAACCCCAAGCTAAGTGTTAAGGAGGTCGCATAAGAGTCTAGTACCTTCGCTGAAGAGTCGAAGAAGCTAAGGGCCGCCAGAAGTCCTTTAAGGTCAGTATCACGCGCGAGCTAGCAATTAACGTCGAATTTAAATTTCAGGCCTAAAGGTACAATCAGACTGGCGCGCAAATTGTATTTGACAAACACAAGCAACACTGAGAACACTTGAATCTACCCCAGCTTGGTATCAGGCGACGCACCATCAACCCTCAGCCGTGACGAAAGCCAACCCCTAGAAGGTATGTATTGACAACCCACCACGCTCGCGTCAAAAGCATACTCACCCCAAGCATGAACGAGGCAGCAAGCCCGATGCATCGATCAGAAGCGACTCATTACGACGCGGACTCTGAGTCTGAAGCCCGAGAGGCCAAGAACCTCGCAGAGCGCCGCAACCATAAACCCTCCCATGTCGCGCCTTCTTCAAGTCAGCAAAGCCCCCTTTCGCAGCCCGCAAACACGAACAACAAAAAACGAACATCCTCAGCACAGGAGGTGCCATATTTCGACTTGCGCAAAGATGTGCCCTCAGGCTCGAAAGTATATAGTCGGAATCAGAACCAGGTCGCGGGGCAGTATCAGAGCTGCGCAAATGCCGTGCGATCAGTTTCGGCTTTCGAGGCACCGAAGGCGGTTCCGAGAGCGGACGTGCAACAGAGTATAAGCTTTGCGTCTGAAAATTCAGGAGCTGGGAGTTTGCTGGCGGGATCTTCAACGTTCGAGTCTCCACTGTCAAGAAAGAAGGAGGCGCCTCAAGGTACAATACTAGGCAACTGCTATTGGCCATTTAAGCGAGAACTCCAAATCAACAATAAACATCTATTTATTATATTTTAATTACGTAATAATTACAAATCTAAATTAAATAAAAAAAATATTATTTTATTTTTTAGAATTTTTTTATTCTTTTTAATTTTTAAGCTAATTTTTCGAAAGCGCACGAATTTTAATATTTAATATGCTAGCTTTTAACCGCGATATAAGCTTCAATTCTATCTAGTATACTTTAATACAAATTATCGAATAACGATTAATTTAATATATTTTATGCAGCTTATAAATAACTTTTTATTTTTTACTTTACGTATTTCGAATTCGATTTATCGATCGCAACGTCGAAGAATATTTAATAAAGCTTCTTTTTAAGATGCTATTAAACGTGCTCGATCGGATTAAAGTCGAGAGAAAAAAGTGGCTAATTGATTAATAAAGTAATTTTATTTTTGCCGAATTAAAATTAAACTTTTTTTGCAATATAAATTAATATATTATTTTGCTAAAACTAATATTTATAAAGCAATTTTCGAAGGATTAGCTTGACTTCGGCTTCGAGGACTTCGAAATAAGATTATGCTAAATACTCGTGTTTTTTCGATTCGAAATCTCGATCCATAATATAAAGATTCGATTTTCCGCGGTCTTAAAAAGCTTTTTAAATTATTACTTTTATATTCTTTTTCGTATCGTATGTTTAAATTATCCGACGATCTTATTTCTTTTTAAGCGTGCGAAAAACCTATTCGATTTCTTTTCTTCGATCTCGCTCGATAAAATATTTATCCGATTAAACGATTTCTTTTTAATCTTCGATCGTTCACTTTCGATGGTCTAAACATTATTATAATCGAGCAGCCGCGTGTTTTTCCGTAAGTTCGAAGCGCTTTTTATACTTTTAATTAAAAATTTTATAATTTCTTAAAATATTTTTAATAATAGTCTCTTTATAATCGAAATTATACGCTCGAATGATATCTTTATATAAATTTTTAAGATTTAAACGAACGTTTCGTAATAAAATTCGTTCGTCGGATGCCGAATATAATTTCCGCCGAACAGCTTTCGATATAAATATACTTTCGTTGCGTAATAAAGCTTGCTTTCGAGTATAATTAATCGTGCTACGAAGTATTTCGAAAGCTTTTGCAATAACGGTCGGATTTATATTAAAAGCAAAGCCGCTTATAATTAATCTTTATTAATAAAGAAAAAGATAATGCCGAATAAGCCGATTATTAAACGTCGTAGCAAAAAAAAGTACGTTAAAAAAGCATTTTTATAATAGTTATATAAGATAAAAAAACGCGTATTGCGAAAAATCGCGGTTTTATAATTTTCGGCTAATAGCAGTTGCGGGGCACTTGGTAGTATGGTACTCCCAAAACGCCGGAAGGTATAGTTTCGCTACTCTTTCTTCTGGGGCTGAAGATTTTGGGATCAATAGATGCTATTTATATGGTACTCTAGCTTGATGGAAACACGAGAGACGACTCGGGCTAGACGTGAAGGGACATCGATACGATATCGATGCACAGGACGGCAAGGGACGGCAAGGCTTGGCCGAGCGATGCCATGGTGGTGACTTAGCTCTCAAACATGCAGCGCTACATAGGACTCTGGTGGATCCAGTGTCAATCGTGCGTGAATATGAATGAAGTTTTGACTGTCGCCTGAAACCAGGCCCTAGAAAAGTGAATCTTGGTCCCTTTCTGAGTCAGGTGTAATTGTATTCAAAATGATACTACTATGCCCCTTCAAAAGAGAAAAGAAATACCATGATACTCGTTTGTATTCCTTCAATTCCACCGAGGAATTCTCTTTCAAAAGAGAAAGATTCCCTCTCTTCGTACCTCCTTCGTACCTTCCTAAAATGTATCTGACTGCAACGAAACATCAGGTTTCTACTCAACTCACATCAAAAAGCAGGCGTAAATTAGACCGCCAAAGAAATTTTCTCGATACCAAGCAGAAGCTTAGTCGACCGTTCACTCATGCAGCCCGCCGCGTCTCCATGCCCTCCTTACCCTTCCGTTAGATCATCTTCCCTAGAGTTACTCAAGCTACACTATTCCTTTCGATCTCTCATCTTTATTTATTAGATCCTTTCAGAAATAATAGTGCATAGTAGGCGTGATCTACAAGTCTTCATCAACCTCTCTAATCTAGTCTCCGTGCATAAGCGTAGGGCATAATCGCAGCTGGCATTCCTAATTATCGTAGCGTATGTCTTCGTGAACAATCAATGAGATAATCCTTGCGGGCTCCTAAAGAATGCTGAGGTCGTGGCTGCATTATAGATTGCATACTAGGTTTTAACTGCCTGCCCGGGTGAAAGCCATTGGGACTTGATACTTACTCTATTACGATTACAGCTCGCTAAAGGGAAGCTGTTTAACCGCAAAAAATAAAACATTTAAAGAAAGGAAAAAAATTCATATTTACATTGGAACTGCGAGATCCCAGCAAAACTATCGGTGAATCGAAGCCCTTTTTTTTTAACTCGGCAATGTTCAATGTTCTGTCCAAGACGTTAATCTATATGTGCATACCTGATCACAATGGCTTATTATAAAAGCTTCCGCGACGCACTGGTTCCACCCGTTCTTCTGATCTGAAATTATAAAGCATCTTGATGATTCTACTGCCTCCCAACCCCCCCCCCCCCCCCTCCCCACCAGGTCAACCGTTATAAAGGCAAGCTGATAGTTTTCCCCGTCAAAACCAATTCCAACGCCTCAGAGCCCCCATTTATGGGTGGGGTTGTGTTGGGACACTCGCTCGACTTGAGCGGGAACATCATCTTCGGATTGCGACGCTGGGAGTTTGATCGGTTCCTCTTCGACGGATTCTCCCCGGGAATTGACACTCAACAGATATTGTGCTCGGGATGGATGCATTTTATGGAGAGACTGGGAAGTTCTGTTGTTGATGAGTTTTTCCGAGGTTGCATTGCTTAAGCCCGTTGTCGCGCAAAACGAGAATGTGGAAGTGGTGGTAGGTGAATCATGAACTTCTCCGAATATTGAACGCTTTGCGCTTATACGAAAGACCATTGCCGCTTTTTGTTTGATTCACTTTGCTTATCAGATAATTCCTGATCGTAAAATTCGACTTTGGAAATAGGGGCGCACATGCCTAGAAGAATAAAAGTAGACCCTGGCAGTAGCAGTCAGCATCGGTCTCCCTCGCAGCTTGCTACCCTCTTCTCTCGTTCACTTTCCACACCCTAAAGGTGAGACCGCTTTTTGGGTGCAGCCGCTTCTCTCTCTTCATCTCGGAAAGCTGAAGGCCACTCAACGCGGCTCCTGATTTTGATTTTTACATAATTTAGAAACGATATCGCGGTAGTGTAAATAGATCCGTTTTCTACCTTCCGAACGCCCAGTTTCATGATGTATAGCCATCTCCAGGTTGTTTATACCCGGTCTTGCAAGGAGCCCCTCTCTTAATACTCAGAGGCCTTCTTCTCTGCGTTCATTTCGTCTACTTCAAAGTCCATGTGCGAGTGAACAATAGCTCCGATTCAATACATTTCAGGAGGAGAATTAATCGGACACATTGCAAAAGAATAGGTCATGATTGGGCAATGGCACTTACTAAATAATTAAATGTCTACAAATATTCCCTTATATACATACAATCCCTGGCTATGCGAACATAGCAGGCCCCCATTCAAACACGATAATGGTGGTCCACGTGACCCCACCAAGAATTTTCGAATAATTTGCCTATTTACGTCATTATACTGCCTCCAACCTTGCGAATCTTCAGATTTAATGCCAATGACTCCATTAATGGGTTTCTGTTCTGGTCTGCATTTCTCGCGTGAGGTTATCCGAACTGACAAATGTCCATATCTTCAATTAGGGGCTTCGGCAGCTAACCGAGTTTAACCGAATTTAAACGATTTTAGACGAGTCAACACTGAGTCGACCTACCTCCTCCTTGATCTTTGATTCCATCACCCCCTATCCTGCATTGTTTTGTGTAGTTTCAACTATTCATCTCTCTGAGGATAAAGAACCTCAAAGATAAGGTCAGAGGGTCGGTATCCTACTAAGGGAATAAATATGGTGAGAATTCTAAACCCCTCTAGATCCAGATTGCGAATACCATGGACGTAGAAATAAGTGTCGAATTAATTAAGAAGCCACAGAAGCAGACCATTGAATATCTTTTAGAGAAGAAGAATTGCTACGAGGATCTTCCACACAAAGCCTCAACCTCCCAATATGCCCATATGTGTGTATCTTCTCTCCCTCTCCCTCGCTCATCATTCTCCACCACCATTTCTCTCGCGCGTTCAAGCCAAACATGAGCTATTCCACCAGTTCCCTCTCCCTCTGCAGCTCTCACATCGTTCGGTACGATAAAATCTCAATTTCTCAAGCCCAGGATCTCCAGTCTCCGACTCCAGGCCAGCCCAGGAAAGGCCTCCGCCACCAGCAGGGTCGAGAACAGAGAATTCGCCGGCGATATGCTTCAGAAAGCCTGGAATCCGCCAATATCCCTACACCAGAAATCATGCAGGGAAATTCGTCAGATTCAGCCGCGTCTCTCACACAGAGAAGTCCTCCGCCCACAAGCCTCGCGCCGACGGGAGCAGAGCTCTGCAGGGTCTACACCTTTGGCAGGGTCAGCGGCAGGGAGGACTCACAAGAACCGATAAGGATACAGGAGAAGCAATAAGAAACACTTGGTGTGGACTCTATGGCTCGGCAGTCAGATGGTCAGGGAGTATACTCAGATGGAAGAAGGGATGTCTCGGAAAGAACTCCTCCGCTCATCTCGCATTTCGAATCTTCTTCTACAGAGGGACAGAAAGACAGAAACCTTCCTTCCAAGCCTCAATCAAAGCCTCCCCACAAGCCTAACCCAAACCAAACTAACAACCAGTCCAGAAATCCAAGGAGCCCCGATCCACGAATCCACAAATCCAAGCCAGCCAACCTACCAGCCAACCCAACCGAGCCAATAATTCGATCCCAAGAAGACACCGTCTACCATACCATATCATACCGCACCACGAATCCTCCTCTCCCTTTCTCTCTCCTTTTCGCCTCCCTCCCTATCCCCATCCCCATCCTCCTTTCGATTCGTTTCGTTCCTCGAAGACGAGAGAGATCAGCTAGCCACGAACAAGAACGAGAACAGGAATAAGAACACGATCAAGAAAGAAGAGAAAGGAAATGAAAAGAAAATAAAAGAAAAGTGGGATGGATGGTTGGATGGATGGACTGGGTATAAGAAGAAGAAGAAGAAGAAGAATTTCAATGGGCTCAGCTTGGCTGGGCTCGGTATACAGATATTCAGATACGCACACACACATATACAGACAGATATACACAGAAGATCGAGATCCGCTCCATACCATACCATACCATAGTCTCGAGTCTATACTCTAGACATAAGTCCAACCTCAACTCACTCACTCACTCTCTCTTCTCTCTCCCCCATCTTTCTCTCCTCCTCATATAAAGAAGCAGAAGCAGCAGCAGTAAGAATCCACCCCTCCCACCCCTCCCCCTCCTCCCACACCCACCAACCCACGAAGCAGAGAAAGATACCCAATACCCAGTGCTCAATCCCCCAAAGCCACCCCCGCGACCACTTCACGCGCCCACACGCGTTGCATACATTTCCTCTCCTTGATTCGATTCGATTCATTTCCAGTTCGGAGAGGAAGGTCGAGAGGTGAGATGTAGATTTAGATTTAGATACCAGAACACAGACGAAGCATAGCACAGCACAGCACAATAAGCAGGAGAGAGTCACGGAAAACGAAGACCTGTGAGGAAAAGTAGAATAGATAGATACAGACAGACAGACAGACAGACAGATAGATGCAAATATGGGAAGGAAATCTCCTCCCAGCCCATCCCAGGCCAGGCCAGGCCCATCGTAGGTAAGGTCGATTCAGTAGAGCAATTAGAATGCATTACAAAAAAAAGCAATTACAATAAGAGCAGATACAATAAGAGCAAGAAGGGGATCTCTAGACCTTCAAGATACAATACAATAGAATAAAATAGCTGCCACATCACAGTTCTCCTTCTCAGCCGCGCTCTCACTTCCCCTTCCCCCAATCAAGAGCAATCTCGAGCACTAGCGCCGTCCAGCACTCGTCTAGCGCACCCTTCCAATTCCTCAAAACACAACAAAAGTCAACTCAACTCACCCCAACTCACTCCGATCTCTCTCCCATCTTCTCCCGTCAACAACAACAACAACGACAACGATAACAACGATAACAACAACAGCATCAAACAACACAGCCTCTCGGGCCACAAGCTGAACATCACTCTCCTTCTCTTCCAGTACTTGCTCTCGCGGGCCTCTCTTTCTCCCTACCTTCTCCTTCATCTTCTTGTACCCCCCCTTCCGAGTCAAACACAAGATTCACATCGCGAGTACAGCGCCGCCCAGCTCTTGCAAAAACATACACACAACACACAAGGTACTCACCATCTTGCGTGCCCCCTCTCTCTGCATAGAAGCACATCTGCAAGCACAACCTCTTCTCTCCCAAGCATAATCAAGAATCCATCGAGATGTTGCCCAAGGAGACCAGCGAGGACAAGGCCTCCTTGGCCGAGAACAGCTACAAAGTGCGGCGCTTGGTCATTAGGCTTGCGGCGCCGGTCCCCGGTTCGACCTCGGGGCCTGCGGTTCCTGCTGCTGCTCTTGCAGCGGTGCCGGCATCGGATTCGGGTTCGATCTTTCGGCCTGCAGCTCCATCGGGGCCAACTTCTTCAACTGTTGCCTTCATTGACACGACTTCTGCGGCTGCTTCGACGTCGGCAATGGTCCTAGACGACGACCCTCAAGGGATCTATAATGCCAGCCCTGACAA